GTCCTCTGTGTCACCGTGTTCTGTAAAGGAAGGATGAGTAACATCTCACAGAGTTCAAAGAGTTGTGTGGTTGTGGGCCAGCCTGCAGTCATCGCACGGTGGATTCTTGAAAGACAAAAACAGACACTAAATTCCACATTAAGTGGGGAATGGTTAGAGTGAACAAATGGGAACATGGCAACAAGTTACCACACGGAGGCGCCAGCTCACACAGTATCAGCCCTTCCGCAGTCTGCCAGTTTTGCCGGTGTTGCTGTGTTTCACAGGCGGCGATGGGGTGGTGGTGCAGCGTCGTGGGTTAAATGAAGTGCAGCTATACCCTACTTACACCGAAAAGGTCACCGTCTTCACGAGCAGACTGTGTTTCTCTTTGAAGACCCACGAAGCAGGAAGAAGTCCTTCATTAATCTGGGAATCATCAGCCTTTGATGGCAGGAGATGGGAACAATATGCAAGTGTACATGTCTGAGTGTACTGTAAGATATGCACAAAGATGGTCCCAAGTTCAATGTGTACATGCTTTCCTTGGATCGCGGTATGTGATCGTGGAGAACTTGAAGTAGCAGTATGATATTTCCAGTATGTAGTCTTACATACTGTCTCTGTTTGACTGTGACCTAGATTTCTCTTGGGAAATACACACTGTGTTACTACATATTGTTCAGTTTGCGGTTATTGTCCCTCCGTGTATTTGTGAGTGTGCGTGCGTGCGTGCACGTACATGTCAGCGCCAGGATCTTTGGATTTTACAACTGTCCCTGTCATATTTTCAGAGGTGATGACAAGCAAGTTGCCTTTCAGAAAGGGCAACCAATTATTGTTTGGTATTTTTATTGGTCCAAAAGAGTTTTAAAAATACAAATGATTGTGTTTTTATGGTGGTCACGCTCCACGCTGGTCTCCTTTGTGTTCTGCAGAAATGATTCCCCTGGCGGGCCATGGAGTTCTAGTTCTCAGTTTGGATGGAAGACAGATGGGTCGACCGGGTTTGTGGTTCTGCTCCGGAACAAGCTGCTTTTAGATCACCGTCTTTTTGCCAGAGACGCAGAGCCTGATACTTCTCTCCCATTACATTAGAGCTCAGCTTGTGCTAATCGTGATCGTAATGTACAGACTACAACCGCAACGCGAAAGCACGACTCCCAGTGGATTTGTAGACCCACTGAACAACAAATCAAAATGATTTGTTGACAACTATTTACTGTACATGGATGTATGTCAGCTGTTGTTTGAGTATTGAAACTTCGGAGTCACTTTAAGTATTTGTCACTTATTCAAGATTGAATTCACATTTCTTTTAAAGTACTAGCCTCATCTACTTCTCTGGGTTCCCATTAGTTTGTTTGTCTTTATGCCGACATTTTTACATGAACAGCGTGTTTTTGCTTTGAAGCCCTGCAGTGTTTGAAACAATCAGTGCACCTCTCTCATTTATATTTTTACTTCACAATACATCAGTTTGCAAAAGTGATGACTTGTAAAAATCACTCCTAATGAAATCTCTCCATCTCCTAGTCTCCCAGTGCTTTACAAAAATATACCATCTAACTGTATTTTGGAGCTGTAAGCAGTCAAGTTCAGTGCAAGGTAGCTGTACATCAACACTCCCCCTTTTACGAAGAATCTGGTCCTGGCCTTCAGCTATTCGATAAAGTTATCAGAGTCAAAACAGTGTGGCTGTAAACAGTGGGGAGCCATGTGTGTGGGAGATGACTGAGACAGACGTCATGGTTTCTCAATAGGACATGCATTCACCGACACAGTCAGTCCACACCACAGCGCCTGGCCTATAGAGTCATGGAAGCCGCCTATCGTAGGTGGTCTGCTTCAGTGGGAGGTGTGTTTGGTTGGAGAGTGGGATGACATATGCACAGCAGTTCAGTGATAAAAGCCTCTGTATGTGACTCTGTACGTGTGTGAGAGGGAGAAAGATGCGGGAGTATAGTCTGAGGTAGCCTTACGTACTGAGAGATAAAATGAATGACTGCTGTTCTCATCATAACAAGCGAGCTACTGGAAGGGAGGCCCTCCTCTCTCCTCAAAAAACGCACACAGCTGCCCCGCGCCTCGCCTGTCCACAAAAGGCATTCCTCCGCAGAGAGTACGATCTGAGTTTGAGAATTCTGACAGAATTCCTCTCCCTCTTTCCCATATCCGTGATTCACGTGAGTCATTTCCATCCGTGGTATAAGGTTTATGCTGTGTTTAACGTTTTTCTGCACAATTTCACTGGGAGCCAAGCGACGAGGCTAAATATTTCATCGAGGGGTTGTTATTTTGTCCGGCCAGGCCAAAGCAAACTTACCACTGGTGAAGAATGTAATCATTTATCTAAGGACCAGGGGCGACATGCTCAATTTGACCTAAAATAGGGCCCTGTGGTGTCCACAGGGACAAGGAGCAAGGGTGTGCATGAGTGCTTATGTATATGTTTCGGTGCATGTTTAGGAGCACAAGGTATGTCAAGCTACTGTACTGCTACAACCAGAGGCCAAAGTGAGTTGTTTGGTTTGTTTGTACGTCCTTCCTTGTTTACGTAATGTGGTGATAAGAAGCATGTTTTAGTGGAAGTCAGCCTTTACAAGTGCTTGATGCTGGTGTATTTTGCTTGAACTTCCGTGCACCTACGTCCCGGTCAAATGAAATAAGTAAAAGCACCTCTTCCGTTCATTCACTTTAAAGTGAAACATTAAAGAATAAATGAAGACACCTCTCCCTTTCTTTATCACAAAGTCCACCCTAAAATCCCATTTAACACACCCATGGCAATCACGCATCCCTGGGAATTTAATCAGATTTTGGTAGCGTGAAGCTTTCCCATCATTCCCTGAAGGGTTTAATGTCTCTGTCGGTTGTAGACTGGCCTATCGGAGCCTTTGGCTTGGTTGTGTAATGACCATCATTAGCCTATCAGATCTGCCGAAGGGTCCTGGCTGCGTTTTCCCACCCCCTCCTACGACTTTCCCTCCATTGCCAAAACCAAGATGGCTCCCTTATATCTTTGTCGTTGCTCTCCAGGGAGCAGAGAACACCAAAGTCTGCAGTCTAATTGGATTCATTTGTAAAATAGCTGTGGAGATTTGGACATTATCTATCTATGTACCCATGACTGGTATGCAGCTTATTCTACCTATTGGATTTTTTGTTAATATCACTATTACAGAAAAACTTTAATCTGTTGATGGCCCGAAGTGCTTTCCTGTTTTTTTATTGGAATCACATGTTCATTAAACAATGAATTCCTTTTAGTGAATACCGTATTTCCTCAAATAAAAACCGGTAGTCAATTAAAAGCTGGGTCTCCAATAACGGCTGGGGGCAACGTCGACATGAACAAATAAAGGCTGGCACCTAAATACAGACTGGGGAAAAAAAAAACAAAGAGTGGATGAACTCCCGGTGCCTGTCATGTAATGTGCATGGCAGTTAAGTATACTGCACATTTTCCCTGCTTTAATGTAAGAAATTCAACAAAGGTGGTGTTTAACTCATTGATTCTGATACACTCCTTTAATCCTGTTCACCTGTTGCTGCATATGGTATCCCTGCAAATGTTTCACAATAAAAGCACTATGGTGGGTCGTTATCTACTAACTTTAAGGATCAAAATGAGGCTTCATAGTTAAACATGATCAGTTACACTTATCTGATACAAGCCTGCTTCAAATAAAGGGTTGTTACCTTTTTGCTATTGAGAAAAATAAAAACCCAGGTCACAATTCTAGGAAATATGTTGTCTCTCTTTTGTGCACTATGCAAGAACCGATGTGAGAAAGCCCCGCATGTGTGAAATGTGGTTTTAATACTTTGCAGCGATGAGTGAACGGCACTTTGTCTGCAGAGAAAATCATTAAAGGAGTCTTGAGTTGAAGACAGGAAAATAAATTCTCTGTGCTTGTGTAAAGATCTCAAGGTTTTATATTGATGTATTGCTTATGAAGATGACATTTGTTCATAATTCAAAATAATGTCAACCATGTCATAGAGATTATTATAAGCCACAAGCAAGTCACCATGTCACCATATCACCATCTCCCATCACCAGACGTGCCGTCCGTTTGAAACTAATTTGTAGACCTCTGGAGTTTCATCGCATGGCTCTGCGTCCTGCCCCAGCTGCATCTGTTTGTGTTTTGTTTGGTACAGCTCAGAGCGTTTTGTGTTCGAGTGCTCCTGTGTGTGTCCGTGTATGTGTCTTTGTGTATGTTTGCGTTCTGTTTTGCAGATGTTCATCAGATAAAGGCTGTTGAACACCACAACTGACTATTACACCACCACTTTAGCAACATGAGGTTAGCCACAGAAAGGCAGATGCAGAGACAGAGTCCTGTAAGTCAGTGGGCTGAATTAACTCTTGGTGTAACACTTGACTGACACTCAAACTGATACAGTTAGCAGCTTCCATTAGACCGTCCATTGAACAGAGATTCAGCTACCCCTGTTTTTCATATTACAATATAAACAAAACTTTGCGATAATATAAGTAACCTGAGACACCTGGAGGCAGGAATACCAGGTGGTTGCACTACCCTCAGATCTCTCTGTAACTTTGGTGTGCACACCTCTCCATTAAGTCTTCTACTTAGAAGTAGAATGAACTTATTCTCTCTTTGTAGATTCAGCCATAATTGTCTTGACCCAGGCTGTACAGTGAAGGCTTTCATTGCTGCTCATCTTTGAGATGCCAGGCCTGAATGGAAGACATTACAGCAGGAAATTGGAGAATGCAGCCAGAGGCTGAACACACTATTCAGTGTCTAGATTCATCTTCTCGATGAATCAGGGGTCATAATTTCTTTATGTGGTTCTTGGGTACCACAAGGTCTCCAGTCACGATACTCCAGCTGCGTACATTGTGCAAATGCTACTCTGCTTTTCAGGTTCAGTTTAAACTTTTCTTCCCATGATTCTTTTAATCTTGATGACTGTTAAGTGCTTGTTTCACAACAGTATGCTACTAACATCAGGTCTTCTGTTTCTCTCTGTTTTTCTCCCTGCAGATTGAGAACCTGTTGGAACAGTTAAAGGATAAGGACAAACAGCTGGCTGGATTGAGGGAAAGGGTTCAGGGCCTTCAAACTGATTCCAGCAATACAGACACAGCTTTGGCCACACTGGAAGAGGCTTTATCAGAAAAGGTATGGAGGGAGGGGTGAAGGGAGGATAAGAGCGGACTTGTTGAAAAAGCCAAAGCCGAGGGAGAAGTTGAGGGTCAAGAAAAGCTGACTGTGACTCTTTGAGAAAAGAAACTCGAGACGAAGGTCGAGGTTGAGGGAGTTGTTGCCCCTTTAGAGTAGCTGCTGGATGGATGATGTAAAGAATCAAGCATCTTGATGATGAAGAGGCTAAAACATTTGTTAGATATAGACCAAAACTCGCAATCGAAACCATTCTGGCATACTTATCTTTCAGGAGACTAGGATATGGCTTATAGCTTAATTAAGTTGCATTCTTTACTATGACTCACAGCCGTAATTTATTGACACAAGCTCGTAATTTACAGACCTTGGACCACACGAGATGTGGTCCTGTCTGAAAACAGTAAGGAGGAGAAGGAGGTGCTGGCAGAAGGGAGGTCTAAGGTGAACATAGACAGAGGATTAGTCCCTGTCTGTAACTGCGCCGAAACTGAGGGAGGGAATGATCTATAGAATAAGAGGAGGATAAAAGTTGCGAAATAGCGAGGAATGGAGAGTTGGAAAAGTTGAATGGCAGAAGAGGCACAGCACTGATGGTGGAGGTGGCCTCAGAATTAATGGAGGGAGAGGTCAAGGAATGCAAGGGTGTGGGCAGAGTAAAAATGGAGCAGTGTCTACAAGGGAA